ATATATATATATATTCTCTTGTCCTCCCTTTACCACTTCATTCTCCTAAAAGGGAAGATAGATTATTTCTACAAATTTCTAATTTAAAGGGATCACATAAAGTCTGACTTAGTGACTAAGGGATTTAGTGACTGTCACAACTACTGTGCAGTTTTCACTGCTATTAAAAATGTTCAAGATTCCACGGAGCACCAGCTTCTTTGGGTCCAGTAGATCCTTGTGATCTGTGACCAAGACTTGGCCTTTGCCATGAAGACTTGGACAATGCTGCTGAAAAAAATTCACTTGCTGTTCATGAGAATTAGTATACACTTCTTTCTGGTAATTCTAGAAAAGTAATTGGCATACTCTGATTTCCGCGGTTTAGCAGGAGACAACATCAATTACATGTGCAATCACTGTAAAATTCAAAGACAAGTAGTTTAGAAAGTAAGATCCATGGAAAACACACAAGACCTCTAAGAAGACCTCTAAGTATGTCAGGGAGAACCCTCTCAGCAAGTTTATCACTACTTAGGTGAATGTTCCCCTATGTTATACCACTGTAAAGAGTATGTAAAATCATTAAATATACTGTTTATTTATTTTCTCCTTTTGATATACGGTTTGTTCATCACCTTGGCATTAAATATTCTATTTTTGAAAGAGCACATTATTATCACAGTGCATTCTATTCGATTAAGACACAAAGCCAAAGCCCCTTCCTCTGACCAAACATTCCTGTGGCCTTGAAGGCATGAGTTTCTTCATGCTTAATCACTGGGATGGAAGGAATACAGAAGAGTCACCACAATTATTGCCCTGTCTCAAAGTGAGACTGTGCCAACTCTATCTTAAATGCGTAGGTAAACTTTATTTCTGGAAATTCAGTAAAGAAACTATAATACTCCTTAGTCATTTATTGTAGGGTTTAACAGCCATTGTTTCTCAAGGCTTTTCTTTGCATAAAACTACATTCTTCTGTGTTATGGTTTAAACCTATTTGCTACTGTTTTATCTTCAATAGAAAGAACAGTCGGTCACATTCCGGTTCCATATGGCAAAGAGGGCACATGAAAAATCTCCCATTCTTTTCAAAATAAAGAAAAGCAATTAACATGTGAAATGAGAAAAACAAGTATGTGAAACTTGAAAATAAAACAATCATAAAAGCAAGATGAAACTGTATGCGGAATGAAATATAGGAAAGAAAGTACAGAAATATATGGGCCAAACCCATATGTTCCATTGTTGGCTGAAACTAGATACAAACATTAGGTGCTAGACAGCTAAGGAGGAACTACAGACTGTAATTGGTTTCTTGTGTGAAGCTGCTGTATGATGGTTTGGATCTGGAGTGTCTCCCAGATGTTCATGTATTGAAGGTTTGGCTGCCAGTCTGTGATTCTACTGAGAGGTGATAGAAATTTTAGGAGGTGAGGCCTAGTGGAAGGAAGTTAAGTCCTTGGGGAGATGCCCTCAAAGAAACCTCTGAAACACTGAGCCAAGGTAAACTTTTCCTTATTTAATTTGATTTTCTTGGGTATTTTGTCATAGCAAGAGAAAGGTAATACATCTGGAACCAGGATCAGATATAAGAAGGAGCTGACAGTTCTGCTCACCAAAGCTGTTCCCTAAAAAGTCCAAGGTAGGTGGTTGTAGTTGAGGTCCCATTCAGAGATGCAACGCTGCACAAGAAAAGAGGTAGAAACCGACCATCTAGGTATGAGGTGCTGAAGCTGAGACACAAATACATGATGTGCTTTAGAGTTAGGTAAGCTGTAAGGCCTAAAGCAACTGTTATGTAAGGAAGAAAGGGCTTACAAAAGATAAAATCTCTACAGGTAATGAATGTTTCAAGAAAAACTAGAAATCATATAATATATTAGTACTAAGAAAATCTGTCAGGCTGCCCCAAAAGGTCAGAATTTACCTCTAAAAATATAATATTTGAAAAATCTGAAGTACAAATTAAATGAATTTCAAATACCGTACTGTAAACAAATACAAGACTAAAATCCCCAGAAATAATAAAAAGGAATTACAAAATAGCAACATGTAGATATTTTTTAAAAATTATTTGAGAATGTGGAGGAATGTACAGTTAAGTAAGATAAGAGAAACAAACAAAATCCAACAGATGGCTTAAATAGTGTACATGAAAAGATTTTGCAAATTGGACAATACAGAATATATCAAGATGTTAAAAATGAAAGAGATATTAAGAGACATAGAGGATACATGAAATGAAACCTACATCAAAGACAACCTTGAAAATAAGAAGAAAGAAGAGGAAATTTTCATTTTTCATGAAAATGACTAGAACTGAAGAGAAATTGAAGTGCTTTGACTAAAAATCATAGGGAAGCTAAAGAAACATAAATCACACATTTATACATCTCTTTGTACGCATCAAAGAAAAAACAAAAAAATTAAAAGCTAGAAGGGGAAAACCAAAGGACCTGCAAAAGAAGCATTACCTAAGAGCTGACTTCTTATACACAAAGAAAAATAACAAACCACTTAGTAATATTTTCTAAGTGCTGATGAAAAATGAACTTGCACTTGTAATTCTATTCTCAGCTATATTAGCTTTCAAAACTGAAGGCAAAATAAGATATTTTTGGATATAAGGATGAGAACTTTAGTACCACTATCTACAGAAAGGGCTTACATAATTAACCAGAAGAAAACTGGTTAAGAGAGAGACAGGTTAAAAGAGAAAACTCACAGAGACCTGTAAGAGAACAAAGAAAAAAAGAAAAGCTTATTTCTATACTCCATTAAAAATGATTTTATTTCTTTCAATTTTCTCTCTTCCAGGTCTTATGACCTCAATTACTTTAAGAATTTCTTTTTCTCTTAAGACAGCTGCTAGCTTATTTCTCCTTTTCTCAAAACCTGATTCCTACCAGTTGTTTTCTAAGTGAAAGCCCTATTACATTCTATTCACTTTTGCCCTATGCTATACATCGGAGTCATGCTTCAACCTTCTTCTCAGGGAAAAACAATCTCTACATAGTGCTTTAGATAAATTCCTACAAGATTAGACAACTTTTGAAGACTTCTGCAAAAGAATACTTGTATAAATCTATTTGAGAGGCTACCTGGCAGATTAAAAAAAAAAAAAAAAGCTCTGTAGTTGGATGCGGTGATGTACAACTGTAATCCCAGCAGTTGGGAGGCTGAGGCAGGAAGATTACCACAAGTTTGAGCCCAGCCTGGGAAATCCTTGGAACTCAGTTTAAGTAAAAGCAATTAAACACATACAAAAAATGGTAAACCTCATGTAGGACTTTATTCCAAAACAATTTTAGCTTGGCCATATACCAAGGCAATTTTTCACATCTTAAAAAACATATTCTATATCATAATCAGTACTGAGAATGATAAATTTGTGATATGGTGTCATCATGTGCTACCTGGGAAAGAATAGCCTCTGTTCGTTAGTGTGCATTTACTGATGTAGGAATATATACTTTATTAAAAGAATGCCAACAGGAATACCGATTAGGGAAAAGCAATAAAGCTACAGATCCATTGAAAGAATTTATATCTATACTAGTACACCAAAAACTGAAATCAATTCCTAGGGTTCTTTGACTCCTTAAAGTCCAGCTAGGCACCCTAATTTAAGAATCCCGAGGCTATCAGGATAGCTTTTCCTGGGACTGCCTTTGAGCCCACAGGTATTTTCTGAACCAATCCATGTTTTATGCCTTTGCTGTGGGAGAAAGACTGTGGTCAGACTTGAACAAAGTGTCATTGAGTTAGTCCTTGCTTCAAAAAAATACCTTAAAACAAATTGTGAAAATAGATCTAACAGCCTTGTGAAAAACTCTCTGCCTGGCTCTCCCTAGAGTTGCTCTTTAACAATGTGTGCATAGTAACTGTGCAGTCTGGAGGAGGGGACTATTCAGCAGGCTGTCATAAACCTCACTTGTTCAGCTCCTTTGATTTATGAACAACCCCTCATCATTCTGAAGCTATGCTTGGAAGCAATTCTAGCCCTAATTGTACAGGACACGTGCTACAATGCTACAATTCCACTGGTGCCCATTGCCCATTGCTGGAAGAGGCTGCTATGGCAGAAAATATCTGGACTATTCCTTTCCTTTCATTAACATGCCCCTTCAAATGATTAGAAGTCCAATGAAATTTCATTATCGGGTACCCAGTAAGTTATTAGAGTCTAGAATGTGTCCCACTTGGGCTATAAACAGTTGTTAGGGGCCACTTTGAGTTGCCTAAAAGTGTCCTGTTGTTACTTCTGTCCAGAAGGTTCCACTCTGCAGAACTGAGGGAGATGGGTTGGGTTGGGTGAAAGGGAAAACACAAGAAACACAGCTGGGAAAGAAACAGTCAAAGTGATTTACCTGGGCAGCGAGGGCAGCACAGATGAGGCACATGAACAGGGGAGAGGCACTGAAGATTTGGACATCTGACTCGGCTGCAAAGCACATTCCCATTCTGAAAGAGAGAAGGCACCACACACACAAAAAAATGTCTTTCAAAGGTCACAGGGATCATACCATTTAGGGAAACAGTCATGCAAGGACTCACCCAGACAGTGAATAACGTATTCCCAAGAAGTTAAATGCAATCAGCATTTTTTTTCCTTTTCTTATCACTAGCACCTCTGCTCAGTTTGTTGATAGCTTACTGGCACATTTTTTAAGGCTGGTATGACTATTACTCAGGTTTAAAGCCTCCTATTAACTGTGGGAAGCTTTCTCTGGACTGGCTCTGTGGCATTTCTACCCTTCCCCAGTTCCAGTGGCATGCCATTTCCAAGCCTACTCTGATTTCAAAATCACCTGCCCAGTACCATGCAAGGAAAGGGGTAATGAGACATGGGTCTTCTGAACTTCTACCCCAAACTGGTCAAAGGTATTTCCCTAGCACATAGATCCTGCAGTCTATATATAACTCTACTATGGTACAGAAGACTGAGTGACTCCTCTGCTCATTACCCTTTTCAGCCAAAAATTTTCTGAAAACAAGCTAGAGTTGGGAATTGAGCTGATTAGCTAGTTTGTCCAGATGGGGCAACTGAGTCCCTGCCTGATTTAAAATGATAAGATTCCTAGCTCCAACAGCTCTTGGCCACTGTTAGAACAACAAAAGACATTTAAAATACATTATCCCATTCATAATTCATTTTTGGCAAAGGCTACTTGTACTTGTCAGACCATTGTGGGAGGAGAGGGTGGTGAAGAGGATGGATAAAGGGAAGATGCCTCAGTGCATGAGCTGTTGTCAGTAGGATCATATTAACATTTTCACTGCCTGGAACACATCAAAGCATCACCCCCAAGCATTAGCTGTCTGTCTCCAATGTGTTGGGTCAAGAATCTGACAAAATCATGCCATACCAGGAAGTTAATCAGTCCCTAGATGCTCTACTAAATACATGACAGCACCACTTAAAGGGACAGTCTTCTTTTATACAAATCAGAGTCACCTTATCACAACCTTTTTTTTCTTTTATTGTGTGCTTTCTAGAATAAATTTTTGGAATGCTGCATAAAGGACCCTCACGTATCACACTCCTCAGAACCAAATGGTATCATTTTGAGGAGAGATTGCTGAAGCATATCAGAAAACATACCTTATTACTAGAGACTAGTAATAATAATGAAAACCACAATGATACCGATGATGATGATGATGATGATGATGATGATGATAACAGTAGCTAACATATCTCAAAAATTTAGCATGACCAAACACTGTTTTAAATAATTTAAATGGATTGGTAAACTGAATACTTACCACAACCTTACCAGATAGGTAATATCATTTTTCATTTTAAAGAAAGGAAGCTGAAGGAATCCAAGAGAGATTAGATAATCTGTTCAACAGAACATGGCTCATAGGTGACAAAATCAAGGTTAGAAGCTTGGTGTGTCTTAATTTTAGACATCTGTAGACTCTTTATACCTCCTGACATTACCTAAAGGTTACATTTCCACATGCTCAAAATTCTGAAAGCCCAAAATTCTACTACAATGACAAAAGGATCAAGTTTGTAAGTGAGTGTTACTGCTCTGACTGGGCATGAAGAAGGAATTGCAATCTGTACACAGGACTCAGTTAAGAGTTGGTCTAAGAAACCCTTTTTACATGTTCAGCATTCTCAATTGTCAAGGTTAAGTGAAAGGCTTCCCTTCCCAAATGGCTTAATGCAGTAGTGGTTCTTGGTGTTGCATTTTGCAGTGGTGATTATAATCCCAAAGAAACTTAACCACATCTGGGAACATTTTTGGCTGCCTCAACTGTGGTTGGTGCCACTGTCACCTAGTGGATAGAAGACAGAGATGTGGCTAAATACCTTATAATGCATAGGACAACCCCTATCTGAAAAAAAAAATCTGCCCCCAAAGGTCAATAGTACAAAAGTTTAGAAACACAAACCTAATATGATGCTAGAAGCTTATTCCAAAAGAAAGACCACAACTGTGGTCTTGAGTCAAAGTTATGGAAAGAAGATGTAACGACCTGCTTTATTTCAAAGATGGCATTTAAACTACTCTGAGCTACTGGACAAAAGCCAAGCCAACGCCAAGAGAATGCTAATCTTCACAAGGCATGGCCCAAGGTTTCTGAATCCTACTCTTAATTAAAGTTATTGGCTGACACAACATAAAATATACTCTCCCAATGAACCTGTTTATAATATGACCTAATCTGTCTAAAGGGTGGGCTTGGAATTGGTTTCCAACAAACTACTGTGTCTTGCAACATAAGCATTACATTGAGTTTCTTCCACATATTGAGCTCTTTTGCCTTCTCCCACCGTGTCTTGTATGACTGGCCTAAAACTCATTGGGTATCAATACATAGCAAGTACTAAGAGATACCATGAAAATTGAGCCAAAAAGCAATAGAGGAAAAAAAGACAGGGGATGTTTCTTTTTCCTTACAACCAGGTTCTTAATTTCTATTAGGACTTTTTCACCCATGTTCTCTGGCTATCTAAACATTGCAAGCGTCTCTGCATGCTAAGGAACAAACTTGGGATATCGTATGCTGTGAGAGACTATACCTCTGAGCAGATGCAATTCACACAGTAAACCAACCCATAAGGTTCCAGGTAAGGATGCCATTTCTCACCCACTCTGTATTTCTTCTCTTGAAACATACAGTACGTCTCTGAATCTGTGAGGAAGCAAATGGAAAATATGTCTTTTAGAAATCATGGATCAAGTCACAAAAATCCAAGATTCCACCACTTTAGTATATGTCCACCAGGAGAAAAGGGACAAAGAGTATTTATAGAATCCTTACTACTGGCTTGGTGTTTTACATACCTTCATTGCTCAATCCTTACAAAAAAACCATAAGATAGGTACCACTCTTGTTTTATTTCATAGAGGAAGAAAATCAAGAATTACATAACCACAATGAGCTGAAGAGCAAATCAAATCCAGGTTTGTTTGACAGTTAATGGCAAAATCTTTAGTGCACTGTTACAATAGTAAAATAAGGGAGCATAGGATGTATCTTTTCTTTAATGGTTGTGTTCTTTTTCTTTTGAAATACAAACTAATGCCTAAAATGTGGATGTATCACAACATTCTCAGAGCTGCTTAGCAGTGGTATAGAAGCATTGGACTATGGAATTTTTGTTACAACTCTACAAATGGCTTTGTCTGCACATGCTGACATCATTCAATCATTGAACAAATACTTGAGTGCTTCCTGTTGGTCAACAACTATTCTAACAGTTACAGATAAAAAATAAAGATAACAATTTTTACACACAGTCCTTTCTACCATTCAACTTACAGACTTCTTCTCTCATGAACCTCTCCAAATTAACTCACACCACACATTTCCCTTTCTTGGAACAAATTTCAAGAGCCAACAGCACATCTTGTTCCATACTACGGTTGAGCATATACCATGATATTTGCCTCATTTTACATGCCTTCTCAGTCAGGATCTTCAAAAGTAGGTAAGATTTTTTTTTCTTTTCTGTATATCCATAGTAACCTAGCACAGTATACCTAATAAATGTAAAAAATGATAACTGATTGATAAACTGAATTTCCAAGTCAAGTGGTTTTGGTTTATCTTCTAACCCTATGTTCTTCTAACTCCTACTCTCATTGTACAGGGTTAAAATAAACCATATTCTCCTAGTATCAAGTACATTAATTTTTCTCATTCCTGCATAAATTTCTCTGATCATTTAAAGAAAAAGAAAAAAGAAAAGACAAATAAGCATGAAATTGAGAGAAGATATTTTCAACAAAAACTAAGATATAGGTATTGAAACATTTTTAATCATTCAAATCAATGAGCAAAAGACCAACAAATCCAATAGTAAAATTATCTAAGAATAAGAACAGGCAATTCACAGAAGAAATAAGAACAATAAATGTATGTGAAAAGATGTTTAAACTTACTAGTAATCTAATTAAAACTACGCCAAGCAAGATAAATATGTTATGTCACTTACGGCTTTAAAGACCTTCTATGGCTCTTTCCCACTACCCACAAGATAAATTCAAATTTATTTTTTAGGTCTTTGCTTCCAACTTCTTCAGAAAAATAAACTGGTAGACAGAAAATCTGCATTTGAGTCCTTATAACCTATAGTTGTGTAACACTGAGCAACTCACTTAGCCTGTCAATTTCAGTTTGCAACATTTATGAAATATGCATTATATTTCCCAATCAAATGTTGGAGGACTAAGTGGAACCCTTTTAAAACTAGAATGTCCTGTACAACATAAAGTGTTAGTCTATGTCTGTTGCTAATTAGAAAGGAGATTCATGCTTAATGAAGAAAATTGGAAAATTACACAAATACCAAAAACCCAAATCATAGAAGTAAAAGAGGAAAGAAACAGTGCGCATAACTGCAATATGAGGAGGCAACCACTTTTAAAATGGTGATAAAATATAAACAGTCCACAGAAAATATTAGCCAGAACAATTAGAGGAGAAAAAGAAATAAAAGGAATAAAGACAGGAAAGGAAGAAGTTAAATAATTATTATTTACAGGTAATACAATTCTCTACAAAGACTCCAAATACTCTACCAAAAAACTTCTAGATTTAATAATCAAATTCAGTAGTGTAGTTGGATACAAAATCAACACTCAAAAATTCAATAGCATTCCTGTATAGAAATAACAAACTCAATGAGAAAGGAATTAGGGAAACAACACATTTCACAATATCATGGAAAAAAATGAAAGACTTAGGAATCAATCTAACAAAAGAAATAAAGGACTTATACATTGAAAATTACAGTACTCTGAAAAGGGGAATCAAAGAGGATATCAGAAGATGGAAAGACAAGCCCGTGGTCTTGAGTAGGAAGAACCAATTTAGTGAAAATGTCCATACCCCCAAAGCTATTATAAAGATTTAATGCAATCCCAATCAAAATACTATAGCATACCTCACAGAAGTAGAGAAATCATTTTTAAAATTCATTTGGAACCAGAAGAAACCTAAAATAGTGTTGAAAATTCTGGGCAAAAAAGGCAAGACATAGGGCATGACAATTCCTGGTCCAAAATTATACTACAGAGCTACTGTGATAAAAGCAATGTGGTACTGGCAAAACAAACAAACAGACCTGAGGATCAATGGAACAGACCAGAAGAGGCAGAAACATCTCTAAACACACTCAGCCACTTTATCTGTGACAAAGGGGACAAACACATTTACTGGAGGAAAGCCTCTTTAATAAGTGGTGCTGGAAAAACTGGCTTTCTACATGCCAAAAATTAAAACTAGATCCATGTCTCTCACCATGCAATAAATTAAAATAAAAAATGGAGCAAATGTCTAAATATTAAAATAGAAACACTGAATCTGCTGGAAGAGAGAATAGGTAGAACTCTTGAGGATTCAGGGATAGGCAAAGACTTCATGAACAAAACCAAGACTGCACGGGAAATAGTGCAAAGAATCAACAATTGGGATTTCATTCAATCAAAAAGTTTTTGCACTGTAAAAGAAATCACCATAGAGTAAAGAGTAAAGAGACAACTCACAGAGTGGGAAAATATTTTAGTCAGTTGTCACTCAGAGAAAGGATTAATATCTAGAACATAAAAAAAATTGAAATAAATCAGATCACTTGCCCAATTTAAAAACCCAATCCAAAAATAGACATCTGAAATGAATGGGTACTTCACAAATGAAGAGATAGAAGTAGCAAATATATACATGAAAAAAATATCCAGCACCACTGGTCATTTGAGAGATGCAAATTAAAACAATGCTGAGATAATATCTCTCTCTAGAAAGAATGGCAATTATCAAGAAATCAACAACAACAAATGCTGGTGAGGCCACCGGAGAAAAGGAATCATTTTCCACTGTGGGAGTATAGACTGGTGCAAGCATTGTAGAAATCAGTGTGGAGATTCCTCAACAAATTAGGATTAGAGGTCCTATTTTACCCAGCTATTCCCTTGCTGGGGAATTAAAAGCATCATACCACATAAACATACATGCACCCATGTTTATAGCTGCACAATTTGTAATAGCTGAATACTGGAAACAACTCAAATCCCCATCAACCAATGAATGGGTAAAAAATGTGTTTCTTATACAATGGAGTATTACTCAGCCATAAAAAACAAGACATTTATAGCTAAATGGATGCTTTTCTAGACTGTATAGATTCTTAAGTAAAATAAATTGGACACATATGTGTAAATATTGCATTGTCTCTCTCTGAGAAACTGAAAGGGTAAATAGGGACAAAAGTGTATAACAGATAATATGCAACAGGAAGAAACTGTTCAAAAGGAAAGGGAAACTGTGAAAGGAGGAGGGGGAAAGGGAGAGAAAAGAAAAATACGAGAAAAGAAAAAAGATGTAATCTTTGCAAAAGATGCAGAAAATACACTTGAAAAAAATTATGCCCATGCACGGCAGAAACTCTGAACAAAATGGGAAGAGAATTTCCTCCCTCTATTAAAAACTCATAGGTGACATGACACATAATAGCAAAAGACAGAATTATTTCTCCCTGAGACTGGGAATTACACTAGAATTCCTACACTTACACTCCTGAAGATTTTAGCTGGTGAACTCAGGGAGAAGAGGGAAAAACGGTGAGGGAGAGGTAGAGAGGGATGGAGGGACAGAGAGAGACAGACAGACAGAGACACAGAGAAACAAAAGTAGAAAAAGAGGCAGACTATATACTATATATAAAAAAGAACTTTTTACAGATATTCCTTTTACAGTAAACTTCTACATAGAAAATTAATTCTACAAAGAATTAATTAAAACATTAAGTTATTATGGATGATAAGAGAATTTAGCAAGATTGCTGGATTCAAACCCAATATACAAAATCTAATCACAATCATAAATTCTATAACAATGAGAATTGAATTTTAATAGTGTAATATTTATAATAGGTCGATCAAAACACAACAATCCAGAATTATAAATCTAATACAATACACACAAGATCTGACCTCAGAAAACTACAAAACACAGATAAAAGAATTCAATAAAGGGCTAAAACATTGTAGAACTGTACCTTATTTGTGGATTGGAAGATACATTATTATTAAATTATCAATTTTTCCCAAAGTAAATTATAGACTTTATCCAATACAAGTCCAAATATTAGCAAGATATTTTGTGAAACTTAGTAATCTAGTAAAAAATCTATGTGTAAAACAAAGGAAGTACAATAGTCAAAACACATTTTTTTAAATGTAGTGAATTAACATACAGCTACATTTTTCAAGACACTGTATTATTGGTAAAGCATTACAGAAATAGGTCAACATAGTACCCAAAATTGGACACACATATATATATAGTCAATTGATTTTAAATAAAAGCTCAAAGGTAATTCAATTGAAAAGGGATAATATTTTCTTTTTTTAAAATTGAGTTTATTGGTACATTTTAGGTATACAGTACAGTTTCAATAAATGTTGCTAACACATTTGGATAGCCATGTGCAAAACACAAAACAAAATGTACCTTACTCTGTATTTTATACCACATACAAAAATGAACTCAGTATGGATCATAGACTTTAATGCAAAAACCTAATACCTTAAAACTTTCAGAAGAATTCATAGGAGAATATGTTTGTAATTTTGGGGTAAGCAAAGAGTTATAGATATGACCCTTTGGGATACTCCATAAAGGAAATAATG